CTGCAGTGCAAATAATTTGATTGGTGCGATCACTTACAAGACGCCCCCCAAAAAAGCCGGGGGCATGGTTGCCAGACAATTTGCACGGGGCGTTCTTTACTCGTAGATTGAAGTCCGGTGCAAAAAATCGGCTTGGTGCGATCACTTACAAGACGCCCCCCAAAAAGCCGGGGGCATGGTTGCCAGACAATTTGCACGGGGTGTTCTTTACTCGTAGATTGAAGTCCGGTGCAAAAACTCGGCTTGGTGCCATCTCCTACAAGACGCTGTCAACATAGAAAGTTGAAGGCATGGCCGGGGCAGACAATTTGCACCCAATGTTCTTTACTCAAAGCATAATCTGCAGTGCAAATAATTTGCTTCCGGGGTGCCTTCACTTTGCTGTGTTCGGCCTGCCTCCGAGTTTCACGTACTTAGGGAGACGTTACGCGCCCAACTCACATCTTTATTTCGGTGTGCAGGATGGCGTCCTTGCTGAAGAGGAAACTCCACGAACTCGACATCGTGCCCCGACCTCTGCTGCTCACCTCGACCGCACCAGCGCCAAACGCCCGCCTGCACAGCACTCTCGCTGCGGGCAATCCAGTACGAGCCCTCGCTGCTGTCACGATTGGAGGGTCTAGCGGCTGCGCCCCCCTTCCCGGCCGTAACGTCCTCTTCTCGGACCTTAGAAGCGTTCCTGTAGCCGTATCGCCGTTGCCGAACGCCGGAGGGGTTCGGGGGGGCCAGCCGTCGTATGCGGCTCAGCGAGCAAACGACGATTTCTTTTTCGATTATGGGTACGCTTTTTGCTTTCGGCAATCAGAGGCGTTCACTAAGCGGGGCTTTGGGTCCACGTGCATCGGGAGCACCTGCAAGGGCAAGGTGCCCATCTACTCCCGCGGTTTGGATCCTTTCCTCTGGGATCGAAAGCGAAATCGGGGTGGTGCGATCATTTGTCCTGGCGGAGGAGGTCACCTGCTGTGCCTCCGCTGCTTGGACGCCATGTATGCTGGGGGTCGGCCGTTCGTTTCGACCGCCACGGGGGAGGTCGTTGACCGCGGTGACCTCTTCAGGAAGTACGAGGCCTTTCCCGCCTCGGAGGAGCTAAGAGAAGCGCAGCTGGGGCAGCCTGCGGTGCCGGGGGGGCACCAGTTCTTCGTCCAGAGGCGAGATCTGTTCGCATGCCCATACTGCAAGAAGAAGAACCGGGGGTCCCCCGAAAGGAAGCGGCTCGAATTGGGGCCGACTCCAAAGGAACTCGGGCCGACTGCGATCCTTGGAGAGTTGAAGCGGAGCGCGGTCCCTCCAACAATCATCGCACCCGGCCTCTTTCTCCTCCCGCAACTGGACGTCAATTGCCGGCTTCTCGACATCTCGTTGAGGGACGGAAGGCCCGTCAACGTTCCCAGGCTCGTCCAGGTGGACCATCTGGGTGACTACAAGTGCATGTGCGGCCAGAGAGCGTGCAGAGAGCACGAAGTTGGATTTCTCAGAGACACGGCCTTCATGGACGGATGGTGGCAGAGGGTTTCGGAGGAGGTCGAGCCTCTCTTCGGCTCGTTCAGCGGCGGAAAGAGCTTCGTACGCGAGGTAACGGGTAGTGGGCTTGCAGCCCGGGTACTCCCACTCGATCGGGACGGCCACCTTGGGGTGCCCCTTACTGGCCTCAATGCGGAGGCCTGGGTGGGGCCGCAGCTGCGCGTCTTTGTGACCTCTGAGGGAGCCGATGACTCTCCGGCGGTCTGCGTGCTCGCCGGAAGGAGCGCCTTCTGCGACAGATGCTCGGAGCAGGAGCGGTGTCCGCACGTACAGAGGGTGCTTTCGATAACAGGGGAAGGAAACGGGGTTCAGATTGGGCCTGGTTCGGAGGCGACCAGGGCAGACGTGCAGAGAGAAGCAACGAATTCGGACAAGCGTGCCGAGAGGTCGGCCCTTAGAGCGTCGGGGCAGATGAAGCTCTGGGTCTGCAACGACCCCGTGTGTCGAAGGCCCGACTCAAAGGTTGCGTGCGTGCATGAAGACACGACGCTCGAGGAGTGGGAGTGCCTCCCTGCAGCAGCCTTGGACATGGGGCACAGCCACAAGAAGATCGACACAGTCATGAGCAGGGGTGGGCAGCAAGTCACGAGCCTCTGCGAGCGCTGGGGGGACGAGGGAGTGCGTGAACGGAACGAGGCAGAGTACTTTTGCGCTCCAAGGCCCGTTGAATCGCTCTCACCTTGCAGGCGGCCATGGCAACTGGAGAGCAGGAGTGGATCGCTCTATACGGCTGGGGCGCGCTATCCGGTGATGACGTACCGACGGGTTTGCAGGATCGCTCCAGGACGGGAGGCTGCGTGCTGCTCGGTGGCTTACGACGGTCAGGTAAGATCTAGTTCTCAATGCCACCTGGACCGATTACCGATTGCTCAGTGTTTATTGCACATTGTGCACGCCGTTGCTTTTTCCTTTTAGTCTTAGCATCTTGGAATGCTTTGAAGCAATCTGGCCCGCCGTGTTTCCGAATGGCAAGCTTATGCACGTCGGATTTTAGATAATACCGGGTCTTTAGCCTCTTTTCTGGATGCGGCACCCATTGCAAGCTGGACAAGTCTTGAACGTGATACAACTTGCGCGCCTCAAGAGTGGTCAAGCAGCCAAGTAGCGACACGTACCCTGTATGAATGCAATAATCGCAGACTACAAGCTCCTCGTGGGGAGGCAACGGCCACACCAAATCATTAAGACGACCGCACTTGGAGCAAGCTTGCCACGGTCGGATCTCCATCAGCGGTTTGGGACCAGGTGTCGGATTGAAAGGCACCGGGAATTCGTGCATCACACCTCCAATATACGCTTGGGCGTCTTTGCAGGTTGATGCGGAAGCTGCCAAGTCTCGAAGAGAAAGGGCACCCTTTTGACCGACGACGCTCAATACGGAGGCGAACATCTCATTTGCAGCCATGGTTGTCCCTTTAAGACACCGATCAAAACAACTGGTTGGTTTCAAACGTAGGATTTGAATGATTGAATGTATCTCTCTATTTCCTTGCACAGGAAGACGGTATCTTCAACTTCTCCGGCACGACGCTCATCTCGCACGGCCTCCTGCTGCGCAACCACTTTGCGGCGGCCCTAGGTGCATCCCATAGCCTCAACTTTGACGCCAACGACATGGCCACCAGGAGTCTCGAAGGGCCGGATGCTCCCAGGCTGGACGATCGCGTCTTCGACGCCGCGATGCAAGCCTTCAACGATTTGGCAGCCCGCTCTCGGATCCAGCACGTCTGCAAACGTCCTGATTGCGCTCATCTGTACACGTCTGAAGTTCGAGCTGCTGAGGCAGAGGCAGAGGGAGCTGAGTGCCCGCTCAAACCGGAGCGGACAGAGGGGTCGCCCCTGAACCTTTCAACCTACGCCTTCAGCCGGGATAAGGTCATCACGTTCGACGGCACATTTTTTCCCAACTCCAGTGCTATGCGGGACAGCAGCGAGGCCTCTCTGCATAGCATATGTGAGCCGGACCCGGGCGCACCTCGCGTGGCAGGGGGTTTCACCCCTCTGAGCATCGGTGGGGTGCGGCCTTCGAACGTCCCGCTCGAGGGGATCGACTGCCCTTGGAAGTTTAGAAACGGGCTGTCGGAATTGAGGCCGGCCGTACGAGCAGCGGCCTTCCGTTGGTGCAACTTCCGCAAGGCGCCTGCTCAAGGGTCAAACACGCCTCTCTCGGCGGAGGAATTCGTGGCCATGCGTGAGGGGTTGCCGGCAAACCTGAGGGCCCTGATCGACCTTGCGACGGAGTCGGGAACTTGCTCCGACCCTACGACTTGTGCGGTCTGCAAGGCCGTGCCCCGGAGGCCCTGGATGGACGGAGTTTTGAAGGGGGGCCCAGTAGCGCCCACGGGTTGGTGCCCAACCCACTTCCAGCCATACGCAGCCCTCCTGCACGCTCTCTTGATACCCCGCTACAGCTGGGTATTTGGGCACATCGTGACGCTGAAGCTGCTTCGACATCTGTTGCTCGAGGGGCCGGTTGACAACTTGGGGCTTGCTTACCTCGCCAACGATGGGCCAATGCTAGCAGCCATTCTCCGGCTGCACTCAATTGGTGAAGTGCAAACGGGTCCTCGACTGTACGCCCTCCCAGCGGCACTGCGTCCGCTCCTCCGGGACATCTACGCAACCAACCTCCTCTGCTTCGAACCGAGTGCCAACCGCCCTAGCGCCTCCGGTCGGTCCCCTCTGGCGACGCTCCATGATGCTACGGAGCATCTGTGGGCCTTGGAGTGTGAGAGGCTTCGGTCTCTAGGCAACTTAGGAGATCCTGGCATGGTCTATGCGGAACAGCGTGGAATTGCGCTCAAGGGGGCCGCCAACGCTCTCCTCTTCGAGCTTGAGGTGCGAGAGCCTCAATGCTACGATTCTGACGGCTTTCTACGAGAGGCCTCGACAACTTATAGGGAGCGTGTGGGAACCGTATCAATCTACGATTTTCACCCGCTGCTCTACGGGCGGCCGCAATTCACGAATTGGGAGGACGCATCCGGTCGGGGGAAGAAAGGCTCCGAGGAGCGGCTCGCCCAGCACTGTGGGGCCCCAAATCCTCGTTCGGCTAAGGGCCGAGCGGGGATATTTATAGCATGCTGTCAACATCGGGCGCCTCTTGGGTACCATTGGCTGAAGGGCGGGGAAAGCGTGTCCGACCTAGGGACCGCCGCACTCACACGCTTACCTTTCAAGACGCTCCGGGGCCTGACGATCATCGAGGATGCCGCTTGCAATGCCCAGGAGTGGTTTCTCAACCGGTGAGTGATCTACGAGTTGACCAACCCGTGATCGATCCACGGTTTGTGCATATCCATGCACTGATTTTCGATGCATTAACGTGGGCCTTGAAGCTTCTGTTGAGTTTTGGTGGTCAAATGCCTTTTGCATGCATTTCAATCCGTTCATGTCCTTGACTAACAATCCTTACGACCCTCTTTTCTGCAGGGTACCGCAGCTGGCCAAGTTCATGCTGTTCCTTGTCGATCGCTTCCACTCAGGCCCAATCAGCTGCGCGCCTGCTGGAGCGGCCAAGCGATACGCGACGCACACCTGCTCGCCAACTCTGTTTATCGACTCCTATCCGCAGCACGACCATACCATAACGACAGCTAGCGAAGGGATCAACTCGGGCTTGAAGCGATCGGCGGCTAGTCTCCAGCAAATCACGAGCATACGTCGGCTCATGAGTAGAGTCACGACGATTCTCGATACGCTGTTTGAGAGATCAAAGTTTGCAGTGTATTATTGGGCTCAAAGCAATGTTGAGAGCAGCCCGCTACGGGAATCGATCAGGGCGTCTCGCTGCTAACCGTCATTTTGCTCTTATGACCGTATTACTCTATCACCCACTTTTGAGGTCCCGGACGCTTTCGGCGCCTGACCACTAACGCGTGGCAATCATGGGAAAACCGAGTTTTCTCTCAAATAAGCGGGTCACAGGGTAATAGGATCATATGGAATCCGGGTTTGCGCTGGTTGATGGGTTGAGTCATGTGTGTGTGTATATAGTTATATGAGTTATATGAGTAATAAGAGGGTAATAAGGAAATCAATTGTTATTTTGCTGAGAGGTGTCCTCTTATGTCTTAGAAAGAGCACTTTCAGAACTTGGCTCCTCTTCATCTGGAGCGCGCACGTGACTCTTTGACCAATTCGTGCACAATGGCAAACCCTTCGGAGATCGCTTGATGGTCGGGGCGTTTGTGGAGTCCTTTTTGGCTATCCAATGGCAGCCTTCATCTTCTGTATAGCCGAAAATCCGGCACCAGCGGCCTACCCATTCAATGGTCGACGACCATGTCTTTTCAGAATGCAGCGCTTTGCATACGGACCCTTCTGGAGGGAACCACCATCCCTTGTGTTTTGGTATCTCTTGGATGCTTCGTGCTTGCGGTCGCATGCCAAATTTGCCATTAAGGTTACTAATCAGAACATTGACATCCATGTGGCGATCCTCTTTGATGTCAAGAGTTGCAAGAAACATGTCATAAGTTGCTTTGATATCTTTCGAAGCCACCCAGGTTTCTACCGAAGGATGAAAGCAGCCGTTTTCAAGCAGCGCTTGAACCATCTTGATGTACGGGGGGATAGAATGATCTTTCAAAGTCTCTCCCCAAGTGGTGCTTGGGATCATTTCCGGATTCCAGTCGGAGATATCGATCGAAGACAGGTACTTGTGGAGGTTTGAGGCTGTCTGTGGGTCTTCAAGCTCCTGAAGGAGACCGGTAAAGTACTCTTTGTTTCCAACCATGGCGCCCGAGCATTCCTGGCAGGAGTAACGACGGTCCCCTGGCTCTCGTTTGACTGGCCATTGATTGTTGGTTGTGAAAACGATGTTGCTGACGTCCCGGGTCTTGATCGAATCAAATCCCTTCTTCTCCAAACAAGCATCCGGCTGCGTAATGAGTGACTTCATCCGGTCGTTCATCTTGTAAGCACCGCCCCAACTGCCCGCTTCGTCAAAAACAATCAACAATCGATTCGCAGACAATGCGTTGAATTGACCAATAACCTTTTCGATCTCATTGCAGTAAAGGTAGTTCATATTTCCAATGATTTTCATGCCAACGAAATCGAATGTCAAGGACTTTCCGCAACCTTGAGGCCCGCGAAAGACCAATGCAACTCCAATCTTGCGCCCCGGTCTTTGAACCGCGTGCGCCATCCATTTGATGTTGAAAGTAAATCGTTCGTTGCAACCGTCACTAAGGATGTAACGGATGTGCCACATGAGCATCGGCATTTGCTGCTCACATTCGGCCATCTCGGAGGGTTTGAGCTTGTGTTGAAGCGGCTCAAACTCCAAACCGCAGAATAGGTTGAAGTGCCGTGGATTGGTTTTGAACGGATCCGGTTCGAAGACGATCCTGTCATACTCACGTCGTTTTGAGTTGCTCTCCCAGAACTTCGCAGCTTCCTTGCTCTTGCCGGGCAGACAATCCAGCTGGATGTTCCTGCACCGCTCAATAAAGTTGTGGCCCGGCCTCTCTATGACCTCTTCTCGCTGGAGGTTGCCATCTTTGTCACGGCAAAAGACGATTTCGGTATAAACCGTCTTGTTGCCTCCAATCACAACCGCAAAATAAGCATTCATCACCTTGATAAGTAGATCGTGCATGTCGTTCTTGCGCTTCTTCCTTTCAGCCGCTTCCTCTTTACTGAGCTTCTTCGTTTCATCGCTTCTCGGAACCAAATAGCGCTCACATTCTCGGATCATGGACGCATCTGCCCTCAGCGGCAAGCACTCGGGCCAGTAATAAACCCCAAGCAAGCACCCCGGGCGTTTGATGCACTCCGAACTGAGACACCGATAGAGCAGGATTCCACCATTGCTCAAGATGCTAAAGTTGTTCGAGACGTGTTCGCACCCATTCAAGCACGTTCGTGTGCCAACCGTTTTGAATTTCAGAACTTGCCAGCCTGTTTGAGTCCTCGTACCGACACCATTGAAACGACTCTGGTCACTTGGCAAAGCGTTTTGCAGCATCTCTCCGATTGCAGTTAGGGCGGGCTGCAACCCCGGCAAAAGGGAATCCATGTTCAATTCCGAGCCCCCTGTCGATTCTTCAGCTTGCGTGTACTGATTGCTGGGCGAGCTGATGGGCCTATTCGAGTCGCTAAGGCTCTTGTTGACCTCTACATTTCCCGTTGTACTACCGACTGCCTTTGCTGACGTGTCGTTCAGAAATCGAACCAACCACGGCGGAATAGCAACCCGTGGTGTGGTTTCATCACCTTCTATCCAAGAATAACCAAAGGTTCTGCCCTTGTTATCTTGGTAACTCGAGGGGCTTACAAAAGCCAGTCCGGCGTTGCTTCCACGACCATCAATCGCCCATGTAGTACCTTTGTAAACGATCGTCGCAAAGTTTGATGTATTGAGGAGCCCTTTGATCTTGCTTGCGCAGAAGAGATAGTGCAAACCGTTTCCTGAACCTGTTCTTGCCTTCAATGTCGCGATGTCACCGTGTTTGTTTATCAGTTTCTGCCACAGTTTTATTCCGGCCTCCTTCGCAGCGTTCGTTTTTGTGGCAGGTTTCCCTTCTGCGTCTATATCAAGCAAAAATATATCCGATATTCCACAGAGAACCGCCAAAGCGTTCATGTTTGATTGAGCTTGGCAAACATAGGTGTTGATCCTCTGTTTATATGCATCTATGGATGTGGTTAATGCTAGATACCCTCCTTTATTGAAGAACGCCTTTTTTTTCCCTTCTTCCATTTCGAGCCTTAACGGAATGGCATACATGCCTTGCTTGTACAGCGATCGGATCGACTTTACCAGAGGGTATTTATGTCTGCTGATGGATTTTCCAGGCATATGATGGTAGTATCTTTTGGTTCGAAAAGTACCCCATTTTGATCGATTACCAGCAGCCCATTGTCGGCGTTTTCCGGCATGTCAATTGATGAACCAGGGTTCCTCTGTGAAGCGTGCATACTCAGCATGTTTTGCTGTGGCTTAGGCACTTCAAATGGTGGTGCTGTGGTCAAAGCAACATCTCCAAGGGTTTCAGAAGACCTTGAGCCATTTGCTAGCACAACGTTTTCGAAGGTGCTGACCACGGCGGGCTCCATCTCTTAGTATATTGTCCCAAGATTTTTTCACGAGGCTTTTCGAACGCGGTTGCGTTTGAACCCATGCATATTTTCTGCGCAAGAAAGTAGGAGCAATCCATGGAACTAGCCAACCTTACCAGCAGAGAAACGACCAACATCGGCTGTAGCTGCAAGAATTGCCTTTATCTGAAGCACTTTCACGAACGACATCCAAATGCGCATAAAACGTACATGAAGCGCCATTACACGAAAAAGAGGACCGAGATCCTACTAAGGCAAGCCTTTGAACGCTATCAGCAGGGGCGTTCGTCACAACAAAAGACCTTACAACGGCTGTTTGATGCTGGTTTCCCTGTGAAGGTCCCATCTCCAGCTACAAATTCACCGATCCTAGACCAAAAGCAAGATAACGTAGCTGCTTTCCTATCGGTTCAGTCCTAGAAACCAAATTACCATCGCAATACGCCGGTGTAAGCTTTTTGAAAAGAGGCTGGATCCAGTAGAGCCACAGAGAGCTGCTGAACGAGCGTTTTATGCAGCATAAATGGCTCAGCTAGATCAACCCCAAGCGGCACGGACCCGTTGCGGTACAATTAGTGTAGGGAGGGTGCACGCGGTGGAAGCTAGGGACGGTAGGAATCTTCCAAGTTACGTCCTATGGGTCACTAATGTGGCATCGCACGATGCTTTCGTTCGTAGCTTTTCATGGCTGTGGACCAATCGTGAAGCATCCGTTTGGCAACAGCCTCTCGTTGACTAATCGAGTGATCGCCCTTGAAGGCGTCGGATATGTAGACGTGTCTCAGGTGGTTCATGGTAAGATACCGTCCTCTGCTGAATTCAATTTCTGCGACGAATCGACTTAGATAATTGTCTGACATGGGCACCGTCAGATCATTGAGCCGTGTCAGAAAGTACGGCCTTGGAACGAGAATCAAAGACCTTTTGATGTAGGTCGACAGCCGTTTGCTCAATTCGAATTCCACACGCCCATGCTTTGAGGCGGTCTTGAAGCTCGTGAGCGTCAAGACGTAAGAGTCTTTGGAGCATTCCTTCAGCACGTTGCCGGATTGCTCGTACACACCCTGCGCTTCGGCGCTATAGAAGGAACCATCTGGCTTCTGTAAAGGGAGATTGCTGTAATCTCGGCGTTTTGGTGGCTCGAGTGTATTCGCGGCCAGAACGAGATGCTGAAATGTCGTCTTGATGTCGTCCCGTTCCAGCGGTCTTCCGAGTTGGTAAGTGTGGACGATCTGGCGTCTGATTTTACGTCCGAGGTCTTCCAGTTTTGCTTTGATTTCCGTCATTTCAATCCAATTGTCTTGCTCCCGTTGAGTGGGCGTTTGACTGATGGTTTGGTTGTTCTGCTTGTTCTTGGCCAAAAGGAACGCCGCAAAATACTGATCATACGCTTCATCCCATTTTCGAAGCTTGAGATGGCCATCAGGGGTGTAAGCTTGTTGCAAAGGCTTCCTGGAGACCATGCAGCATTTGCTGTGTTACTTTGGCGTTCTCGTACGGCGTTCACAATGGTGCCCGCTTCTTTGATCCAATCTATGTCATCTGGCAACTCCGCTTTCTCGTTGCCTGCAACCAAGCGGTATACGAGCCTTAGACTGTTGAGATATTGGGTGCAAGTTGTTTCGGCACGATGGGATCCATCCCGTAGAACGTTGAGATGAACCTGCTCGCCACACAGTGGGACCACCCTCACGTCCTTTGCCAGCCCGCTTTCACGTGCTTCTCCGCTGCTTTGCTCATATGCCATTGCTGTGTCGTGATCTCCTGCAAGAAAATAATTCTACAATTATTGAAACGCGCCCAATTGGGTATCCGGATTTAACTCTTCTCAGAGAGGTTATATGTCATTAAATTAAGGATTATACATGATATTCTAGAATTGTGAGTCACGTGGGTCGTGATTTCTGAGATGATGATCTCAATTTAATTGTTCCGTTTGGTAAAAACGACATAGGGATGAGGATATAGACCAGAGAATTTCGCGAAATTATCCAGAGACGCCAGAATTAGTGACGGAGGGTGTTCACGAATTTAATGCATCAGGGGTCCTTGCTTCTGGTGCTAGCAAATGCTCTTTTGAAACCAACGTGGACACGCTTGTTTTGCTGCAGGAGCCTTTGAAAGGCTAATGCGTTTTTTCATCATTTCTACTACGGAGCCAATGGATGATCAGGGGTCCCAGCATTCTACAGCCGAAAGCGGCAACTGCCGATCTTTTCGTATTCTAGGTGCTTTTGATATGTCCAGAAGCTCAGCAGTAGATCGATCAAGTCTTCTGAATAACGGTCGATTCCTCATTAGCGCAAGCAATGGCCGAGTTTCTCAAGTTGGTACCCGTGCCGGCAGCATGCTCTACCAAAGACTCAAAGGTCAAGAATCAATTCGACTGCCATACAAAACGGGAGTCCTTGCAGAAGAGACGACCAGAGGAAGCCGTCAAAAACGGTATGCATACGAAGTTACCTTAAACAGCTTACCCATTGAAAAGCGAGCTTCTGAGCGAATATCGTTCCAGGGCTCTTATAAAACAACCGCCCTCAAGATGAAAGTGGAAGACTTTTACAGAGCAATGCATCGGGCTAAACGCCGGACACGTGGCATGATGTTTTCGTTTTCTGACGACGACGTCAGATCCCGCCCGGTAGGAAGCAAAGCCGCTTTGCGTAAAAAAACAATCACCGCGGAAACGAAGCCAAATATGAACGAAATACACGACGTTTAGGCATCTTAACAGTACAACAGCAAATTCGAAAGCTGCATGGTTCACTCTACGATGGTCACTTTACGAACCTTTGATGGGTTGACAAGTGCATCGAGATTGAGATCCATGGCCTCGGAATTTTCATCCCAAAGACGGCTAGCGTAAGGCGGCAACAATCCACTTTCCAGCTCATGAATTCTGTGATCACTCAAAAGCGGGGCGTTCTCACTTCGATGTGATCGACGTTCTTTTCTCGTCCGTTTGGTTCGTTTCAACGCATTCGTCCATGATACATATACCATATACGGACTCCCGAAAAGGTTGGTTCGATCCCAACTTGCCTCAAAACCTTCGTTTCTCAATGAACGTACAACCTTTCGACATATGTGCTTCAAGCTGAACGGCCTACACAAGGCTCGTGAGCCAGCTAAAGTTCCAACGTCCAGCATAGTACTTAAGATGCCAAGCTCAGTGTGGGTGCGTATTATTGCAAGCCTCACCGACTCCAGTGTTCGTCGATCCATTTCAGCAATAGCAACCTGATCACGTGGCTGAAAGTCAAGGATCACGTCCATGCTGAGAGTCTTCTATTGACAATACGGCTGGAAAATCAATTGCTGCGCAGATCAAACTCACAGCGCACAATTGCACGACTCTCAACTTGTAGTTGACCGCGTGAACCAGTTTATTTGCCCTGGCTTGGAAGCTCTAGAGTATAGAAGGCCAGTGCAAATTGACTGGCACCATGACATGCCAGTATGTTTATAATTTGTAACTGATGGCGTGAACAAGATTATTTGCTTGGCTTGGAAGCTCTGGGGTATAGAAGGCCAGTGCAAATTGACTGGCACCATGACATGCCGGTATTTTTTCAATTTGTAACTGATGGCGTGAACGAGATTATTACCTGGCTTGGAAGCTCTGGAGTATAAACGGCCAGTGCAGATTGACTGGCATCATGCTGGCATGTCACTGCGGTTCCATCAGTCGTAGCTAATTTCGTCAGCCCTAAATTGCATTCGGATATAGATCAATTACTTACGGAGTGGCCCGTGCAAAGCAACCGTACTTAAATGCCATTTGGAAGTGGTGGACGGCAAGAGCCACATCGGAAACCGGTCCGAGCATGAGCATACACAAGTGGCCGCAAAACGACTTTTACACGGAAGTTTATCCTTCAATCAACTCCAACCAGCATTTAAAGTCTACCGTGGTACGATCATACAAACCTCCTCAGACCTATCAAACTGCCTCTCGGGTAGCACGCCATACCGTGAGTGCACCTCCTTCCATGGTCCAGGCGTAAGCACGTGGGGAGATCGGTATATTCCATTGCTCTTTCTTCCCCTTTCCTCCATTCTAATTCCCAGACCTGCAAAGAGAACGTTCAATACAGCATTGCGCTTCTGGCCCCAATGCTTGCTTTCTTTCCCGTTCTTCGACTTCGAAGCTCTTTTCGTCTGTTGCACGAAGTTGTACATGTTGAATATGGTCTTCCGCCGCTGCTCGCTGACCCCGATATACTTTACGTATGCTGCTTGTACCCGTTCCTCCGACACTTCCCACCGCTCTGCCTCGTGGTCGAGCTCAGGCTCGTTGCAACCCTGCAGCGACGCCAACACACGCACAGCAAAAAGCACGCGGTTTTCGGGCTTGCGGACCTCCTTCACATACTCCTGGGTCACGCCCTCCCTGTCGGCCTTCAGAAGAGCGGTGTCGAGCCCCATTGCAAGGTCGTCAAATCGGTTCCCTCGGAAGCTGCAAAGAAGAGAAGGGCTCTGTAGTATCACCCTTAAAAGCAAGATCCGCAAACTGGTGGCGCACTGCAAAGGTTGCAAGAGGATGAAAAGACCGTTTGCGTACTACACTCTCTACGCAGCTCCTTGACTCGCTTCACGAGTATCGACACGGAAACAGGAAAGATCGAAAAACGCAATGCGTGCAGGTTGAAGGGCTCAAGCTTGAGCGACGTACAATGTGAGCTTTATTCCGATCTGCCTGGTCAACAATCAAGTCCCAAAAAAGAATGACTCTAAACTGAACACTGATTGGCTACGGAGAGCAAAAGCCGACCAAGCATAGTGCCAGTTTGCTTACAGATAATTCTCCGAGCGGACGGATTGTGGACTTACATAAGATAGTTGACGTACTGTTGCTTGGTTGCCTTCACGTCCTCGGAGTCCGCACAATATAGGCCGTAGAAGGCGTGATCGACACGGCGTGGGTCAACCTTGTAAAACCGAATCATTTCGTATAAGTACTTCTGCACCTTCTGTCTCTCGTCCAGGTCTTCTCTCGGATCTTCGTCCTTCTCGACCAGCTCCACATATGCGCCAGAAGTGATGACGTACTTCTCCCGCCAGGCCTCGTCGCTTATGAGGTTGTCTCCCTCGTCAAAACCAGGAGGTATCTCCGAAGGAGGGGCGCCCTTTACCTGAAATTGGATTGAGATGGATCAGACAGTTTTCAAAAGCGGACTGACTTGAAGCCAAAAGGTACGCAATACTGACAAAAGATATAGATGCATTCCGCCCAAGACATGCAAGCAATCAGGCATTCGAGCAGAGCAGGCACTGAAGCAGGCTACATCAAGCACGCTTCAGAAGCTTCAAGAACACTCTCAAGCAGAAGGAATCAGTGGGCGTGCAACAGACTGTCTGCCAACAAGAGCGCCTAGCTGCAACCCGGGTTTGGTTTCCTCGGGTTCATCAAGCTCTTACCTGAGGTTCGATATACTCGATCGACACTTGGAACCCTTGCCTTTCCAGGTCCGCCTTCAGCTTCGGGATATACTGGATATAGCTCTCCACCTTTGCCAGGATATTGTTTGCATAGAGCACGCAGCTGGCGGACGAGCGATCACAGACAGCTCGGGAACCCTCTAGAAAATCCAGGCTAGCAACGTCTCCAAGCATCTTTGCAAGCTGCTTATCATCACGCTCAATTGCTAGAAACACGTGCTCTGTGGTCTTTGGCAGGTCAACAACGGGGGAAACAATCTGCTTGTAATAGATAGTTGAATCGGTAACCGTGCGAAAACGGGCGTGCTGCTGAAGCAAGGTCTCGACGGTGGGGCCGTGCAGACTGTTCAGAGCAAAAGCGACAGTCTCCTCCGCATAAGCCCTCTCCTTCGAGACACCAGGCCCCAACTTGGGAGAGAAGGCCACACAGTCAGCCTCAAGGTATTTGTCGGGGTCGGCCATTGCCCGACGAAAGAAGTCCTCGTCCTCCTTGGACTTCTTGTCGGCGTGAAGGAATATGCCCTGCCGGTCTGATTTAGACGGCTTGTTCTCCTCCAGAAAGAAGTGCTCGAGATGCTTGACGTACCGCTTAGTCGTGGACGGGCTCTGCATTGGACAAGGGAACTCAGTGTTAGGAACTCAAGTTGTCAAGAGTCGACTGCGTGGCGCAACTCTGTGCTTTGATTTTCCCTTTCGACTCATGTAGCTGGCCAGATCTCGTGAGTCAAAACGTCTAGTCGAACCACACGATTTCAAACCCAACAGCCAAGACCAGGACCATGCAACTGCGGCATGGGCAGCTTTGAACGCCTTCTTTGACGTCTTTGAAGCCAACCCAGTCCGAGGGTTAGAAGCAATTCCAGTGTAAGCAGTTGGTTCACGATAAAATAGAGGATTCGTAGCAAAAGCCTGGCCGGTTAGCAGCAGAACAGCTGGTTAGCTTGCTGGTTAGCAGCAAACAGCTAGTTAGGAGGCTGGTTAGCAGCAAAGAGCTGGTTAGGAGGCTGGTTAGCAGCAGAGAAGGGGGGTAGCAGCGAAACAGAGTTCCAACTTTGTCAACGGAAGGGCTACCTCGGACTATGGGGCTCACCACAACTTTCACGCCTCGTGCCACACGATCGAGGACATCTCGTGCTGCGGTGTCGACGCAGGCCAGCATGGAGCTTTCGGGTGGGAAGATCCGAATGGTCGCACGTCTCGAGGCGGGGTAAAGCCCAGTGTTCCGAATGGTGTAGAGGGCCGCATCCGGACGCACCATGAACAGGTACTCCATCACCCGCGCGCAGTCGATGTTGGCGTCCATGCCGATGACGACCCGGGCCGATGCCACGTCCGCCTCCAAGCACGACAGCACCTGCTTCCGCTTGCTCATCACCTCCGAGTTGAGATTCGTGAGCACCATGTCCATCTCGTCCATACCGACTATGTCCATGCCAGCACGGACTCTGTGGATGCTGTTGATGCAGCAGACAACGCGCGCCGCCTCAATCTTTCCAGGCGGCGCCTCCTGGTAAAGCACCACGCCTTCGATGCCCGCATCAACAAGATCCTGGTAGTACTTGCGAGAGAGGGAGATATTGGCTCCGATCAGAATGAAAGAGAGTTCCGGGTTCTTCTTGACCATCTCAATCAGCCACTTGATGAAAGCCTTGGACTTTCCAACCCCTTTCTTGGCCGAGACCAGGATGGTCCGCTTCTGGACCCTCTCGAGCCCGAAGACTGGATAGGGCTGCATGCGCATGTTGTCCTCGTAGTCCTCCGTCCAGCCGAAGATGGTCTGCATGTCCAGAGGCAGCACACGGCACTCGCCCCTGCACAAACGGAGTAAAGCATGCTCACGACTTTTGCCTTAATGTGAAATGCGCGCAGGTTGACAGATCTCCTGGGCGACAATCTCACCACACTCTCGTTGATGGCGAAAAGCAGAAGAGCCAAAAGAGCCACAGCCGGTGGCAGCTTTCAAAAGCCCCCCACAAGCCGGTTCGAAAACCGAACAAAGTCTGTAACTGATTGCAGGGAGCAGATTATTTGCCTGGCTTTGGAACTCTAAAGTAAAGAGAAGTAGATGCATATTGTCTTGGACACAAAGTCGGTTGAACTTTCAAATCAAACCAGAACTTGTAATTGATTGTGGGGAGCAGATTATTTGCTTGGCTTTGAAACTCTAGAGTAAAGAGAAGTGGGTGCAAATTGTCTGGCCCGTGAGTCTGGACAGTTTCCCGCTTGAAAGAGAGCCTACGAATACTAACGAAATGAACCCAGCCTGATCATTCAACCACGGTTTGTCACTATCCCCTACTTGAACAAGGCTACGCTGACGAATGTCGGCCAGCATAGTGGTGCGAAGCGTCCAAAGGCTCAATGGAGCGACCATTCCGAGTGCCCAACTTCCACATCCTGCAAAGCAGTACTTGTTTTGATACGTTTCCATCCTGAAGGACTTCGAGAGTCAACCTACCTGCAGCTATTCGCGAAACACTGGTAGCGGGCCACCCGCGGCTCGTTCCGTTTATAGATCAGGTACGGGTTCTGGTTGCCCAAGGAAGAGTGGCGCCTGCCCGCGATGCAGCACGTCGGTTCGGGGGCGCGGAAGTGCACGAAGAACAGCCCCGGCCGCTCCTGCACCACCCGGTCGACCTCCGCACCTGGGTGGTCCTCCTGGTAGCGACCGAGGAGGATGCGCTCCTCCTGCTCGCTGAGGCCCTCTTCCAGCCCCCGTGAAGTAGACGCTTCGTCAATGTCCAGAGCCCTCTCCCGGAAGGCTCCTTGACGGGAGGTGGGGACAGGGGCGGCAGGGGCTGCCGTTTGGGGGGACGCCCACGGATTGAGGAGGCCAGCATCATCAAGCTCCGTGGAGATTAGCAGCTCCTCCTCCGAGTAGAGACAAACCAGGTGGTCGGCGAGTTTGGGGGAGCTGCCTTCTGAGGGAACGAGAGAGCGGAAAGGGTCCCCAAGCTTTGAGGAGTGGAGCATCCTGAAGCACCGGTTCTTGCTATAAACGGAAGCGTCCCAGAGGTAGTCGGAGCCGCCGTCCTTCCTAAGCAGCTCTACGCTCACTTTTAGATCGTCCGGGGGGTCGTTAAGAAAGCTCTCGAACGCCTTTCCGAACGCCCTCCTCGCCTCTAACCCCTTCAGATGGTAGCCCCGCAGCACTTCGTGGACACTGTACTTAAAGCCACTCCCCGAGGGAATGGGGCCGTGTGCCTCGCTCGATTGGAAGCTGGCGGCCGCCGGAGAGACGTGCAGGACCGAGCTCAAGAACTGGTCCCTGACTTGGTGGAAGCTGGCAAGCCGCCTGCTAAAGTCGTCGGGGTCCTCAGCCGCGCCCTTGTAGTCAAAGTCGAAGTAGATGCGCCAGCATGCCTCATCGAGGATGACCTCGTTGAGGAAAGCTCTGCTGCCGAGCTGCTTGCGATACGCAACCAGGGACTCCAAGTCCTTGAAGCTCGAGAACGACTTCGCGCCAGCAGCGTGGACGTCCTTTGCCACAGCGATCTTGTGCCCGTTAGCTTGCATGTGCTCGAGCGCCGCGACCAGCTTGGAACACCAGCGCGCATCGCATGGGCCCATTTCCTCCGCCTGCAAGAAAGAGAGCGGATCAGATGTCAGAAATGATTCGACATGAACGCAGGTCGAAGCAACAAACACAGTGGCACTTCATCAGATCTTGTTCTACAGATCAACGTGACTGGTCTTAAACTCCAATCAAAAAGCATGGTACACGATGAAAGTTGGGCCGTCGGAAAGGAAATCAACGTGAGCGGTCGAGCTTCAGGAAGTCAAGCTTCAAACTAGTCAGACGCGCAAAGTAAAACCCCAGAATCCCGAATAACCCTGGCCAACACTGTGCACTACAGCGGGCAATGTCTGCCCAGCAAGAAGCAATTCAAAGGCCTGGCTCCGATTGGTGTCTCGACCTATGTATCCTAGCGACAGCCACTGCTCGTCCCCAGTATAAATGGCAATAGCATGAGGATCGTGCTCGTTGTCGCAGTCTCTAACAAGAGCCAAGGGCTGTCCAGGTCGCAACATTCGAACGGCTGCCTGACGCCCCTCAAAGCTGACTCCGGATGCCCGGCAAAAGGTGCTTTTTGTTGGGGATTCCATGGTAGAGTCCAGATGTGTGCTTTTTATGGAGCAAGTAATCCCTAAGTATGCGTACCTCAGACTGGTCGGGCTGGTTGGGCTGGTCGGGCGGGTCGGGCTTGTCCGCTGCAGGGCGCTCGTCACCAGTAGAGGGCTGCTCAAGCCCGGCCGCGACGGGCTCCCCCAGGGCAGGACCCGGCTGGTCCGAAGCGCCGCCCGGACGCCCGTCTCGCATTCCGCCTCCAATGGTGGGCTGGTCCACGGGGAGGCCTGGCTGATCCGGCGCTCCGGGCTCGTCTTCCAGAGCAGGCAGCGAAAGAGGGGCGTCTGGAGCAGAGGGCTGGCTAGAGGGCTGGCTCGAGGGCTCTGTAGGGAACTGGCCCGGAGAGTTGGGCTGATCATCCGCTGCAGAAGGCTCCTCAATTGCACATGCCGACGGCTGATCCGAAGGTGCGAGGGGCTGAGTGGGCTGAGGGGACTGTGGGGACTGGTTTGGGTTGGAGAGGGGCTCAGAGGGGGCCTGGTCCGCTACGGGTTGCTCGTTTCCAACCGGCCGGGTGTGCTGACCGAGGGGACGCTGACGTCCGTACACCTTGAGCCTTTCTGCTTGCGCGGCGGCCGCGTCCGCTGCCCACTTCTCTTGCACACGTATGTGGAGCTCACCCACGTTCGGAATCGGAGCGGCAGTCACCAAAGGCTGCACACGAGAATCCATCGTTTAGAACGAAGCTGCAAACTCAACATTCGGTAGATGAAAGCAAGCAAGGGGAGCATTTGGTGGCTAGCCGGAATACACTGTTCAATCATCAGCCCCGACGGCCCCTGCCTCCTCTTTTTGTGTCTGCCAAAGCTAAAGGCCAAAGCTAAAGGCCAAAGCTAGGTGCCAAAAAGCAAACCGGATCAGAGTTCAACGCTGTGTATCTGCTCCAGAGTCGATTGGACACATCGATCAGACACATCAAATGAATGTCGCATAAGGTGTCGCGTCTGCATAGTTTGTACATCCAAGTTTGCAAAGGCGCAATGGCACTTCGTGAGCACTGGTCAACGGTCTGATCAATCCCTGCACAAGCTTTGCATCCTTACCGTTGGAGTAGTTGGCGGCAGCGGAGCAAAGTCGCGCATGTCCGTCTGGTGCCTCGGGGGTTGCCCAGCGCCCTGACCGGCAGCGGACACTGTGGCAACCCCTGCAACCCTGGTGAGACTCTCCAAAGTCCGTCGGTGGGATGCAACGGCCTCTGCTGCTGCTTCCCGGTCCACGTTGGCAGCAGGCTGCGCTTTCTTCCTGCAAATGGAGGGCGGACTCGGACTCAGACGAGAAGTTGCATAAACAGAGTTGACACAACCCGTTGACTGATACTTGCCGTTGAAGAACAGGTCGGAGTGGCCGCCAGACAATCTGCACCTACTCTTCTATACTTTAGTGCTTCCGAGCCAGGCAGATTGACTCGTTCATGCGTTCAATTACAACTTGGGAGCCGGAAACAGGTCGGCATGGCCGCCAGACAATTTGCACCCACTGGTCTTTACTTATAGATTCAAAAACCGTGCAAATTATCTGCTTGATCGCTACCGTCACTTACAAGATGTCGTCCAAACCGGCCGGCATGGTCACCAGACAAATTGCACCCACTGGTCTTTACTAAGAGACTCAAAAAACCGTGCAAAGAATCTGCTCGGAGGCAAGGATTGGCATGGTCGTCAGGGTTTGCACTATCATAACCGAACACGGTTCCTGGCCTTATAGTCTCATCGGACGTGAACACGGACTTAGAAACATCGTTAAAGGAGCCACGCCTTCTTTCAGAACACTTACCGTTATCTCAGAACGCGGTTCTGCTACACGTAGGGCAATCAACAGCCTTTAAGGAGGCCAACAGGAACACAGGCCGAAAGGAGGATCAGACGAACTCACTTGCGCTTCTTTTTGGCAGCATGCTTGCCCTTATGCGCTCCAGGGCCGACGGACGTTGACATTCGCTGCGCAGCCCGTTCTTCTGCGCTTCGTTCGACGGGCCGGCCCCTATCCTCCTGCAATGATAGACACGGGGCAAAAGATGAGCAATCGTCACGAAACCCCCTCAGAATAGTCAAAAGGCCCCCACACAAAGAAGAGATGACCCGTTGGTTATATCAAGGGAAAACACGGAATGTCCAACCACAGCGGAACACGGAAACTACACTCACACGAAGAGGTCAGCAAGGTAAGGCACGCCGCAGAAGTCACATGCCAAGACCCTCCACATCGTCAAGGGATGGCATGCGCACTGATCGCGTTATCATGAATCTCAATCACGCCACGATCACTCTTATCATCGCCACGCCATTTGACAGTCCCCTTCAGTTGCACTCCCCAAGGCAGAAAAAAGTGTGACATCAGATACTTCAACCAGCCCAGGTAGCAATAGAACTTCTCCCCTCCGTCCCACACGAGAGCACGGCCATTCGGAGAAAGCGTCCATTGGCAATAGCGGGGAAAAGATGGACACGGACCAGCCCCGAAACATCTCGAGCACTGACAAGAAGGCTTGTCATCATGAATGAGGGCCACGTCGAATTCTCCTGCGACCTTGTACGGGGGCAGCGAGCCCTCGATATGACGGTGCAGCTGTATTGCCAGGAGAGTTTCGCGCTCTTCCTTGCTGAGCGGCTTGGAGAGCGCAAAGCGGCCGGTGAACTTGGTAGTGCAACCCATAACGTGCTCAATTTGGGTTGTCCGATTCTCCTAAGTAACGTTTATGGCCCAGCTCTGGCCTATCGTGCTCACACTTGCTATAAGCGCAAACTCTGATAGTCAGCAGACATTACCTCATCCGGTGGCACCGGCTCCTCCTCCAGTCTGTCCGCCGGCGTCGGCTCCGCCTCCAGGGTGCCCGCCGGCGTCAGCTCCTCTGCCTCCTCACCGGCTGCCGTCGGGTTGGGGGCCTGACCGTGTGCAGCATCGAGTTGGAACGGCTCCGAACCAGCCTACAGCAACCCCAACGTGCCTTAGTTTGGGCAAACCGCCTGTCAGAACCAGCCAAATTCAACCCGCATTCGACATGCTCGTTTGCACGAGCATGTGCACAGTGCATCCGACCACGGTTGGAGCAAGAGAGTCATCACGTGCATAATTTGCTCTCGAAAGTGACGCAGCACGACAATTGGTCCTACTCACCTCCCTGGGAGCTCCCGATCTGGGCTTGGCACCAGCTCTGGAGTTGACCATGGGGCTCCTCCAGTCTGAAGACCGTTTCTGGCCACCGACCATCCCCGATCCGCCAGCAGCTGACGCCGGTGGCTGCATTCAAGAGCAATATGAGTGTAATAAGACACTCGAAACAGGCCCCAACAGACTTCTTGTGCGGCGAGCGAGAGTACGGTCTTCATACTACTTCGAAAAGAGCTTGCGAGCGGCTGTGCATGCAGTACTACTTAGGAGTACGGCGACTGCGCCCCAAGAGACGGTCGTGCTCCAATTTTGGAATCTTGCCCGGACGCTAATCACAAGAAACTTCTGCTCAAAGGCAGAAATGTAAGGGGAAAGCACACCTGTGTAGGTTCAGCTTCGCGTCCCTCCGCAGTTGAAGGAGGCGGGGCCGTCGGAACTTCCCCACCGTCTTCCTCGTCATCGTCCTCAAGGAAAACCACCCTGCGTCTTTGCAAAGACTGCGGACCTTCCTCCTCCGGATCGTCATCGATCCTCCGCGACCTGCGCCGGCTGGCCTTGTCTGTGCTCTTGAGGAGCCTCTCCCCCCCGTCTCCCGCTCCATCTTTCTCCCGGGCTTCCTCCAGTGCCTCGGCAATCAGGTCCTGTAATCAAACGTGCAATCTTGGGTGAAACGCAGATGGACTGGTCGCAAGACTCATTGCAACAGACCGCTCCAATTTCTGGAGCTTCAAAGCGGTGCAAAGAAGCAGCTTTTGCGGTCACTTACAAGCTTATGTTTCAACCCGGCATGACCGCCAGTCAATATCTGGATCGTGCTATGACTTCCAGAGAAAGAACGATCAGCATGGCGGGCAGTCAATTTGCACTGGCCGTTCTATACTTGAAGAGCTTCCAAGCCTTGCAAATTGTCTAGCTCATGCTGTCACTCACAAGGAAACGGTTGGCATGGCCGGCAGACAATTTGCACTGGCTGTTCTATACTTCAATGCTTCCAAGCCAAGCAAATAATCTGCTCGGGGCTATGGCAGACACTTACAAACTTACGATTGACAAAGCGACTCGGCCTTTCTGGGAGGTCTGACTGAAAAGCGACTGCTTGTTATCTGGCTGTAGCTTATGGTGGAGGGCCCGCTTGTTCTCTGCCCTGATGGCCTTAGCTTATGGCAGTTAAGGGGAGAAGCGCAAAAAATCCGTCACATGGGGGCTCTTCAAGCTCGCTCACCTCAAGGGACGGCAGCTGGGGAGCAGCTCGAGCGGCGCTGACGTCATCTTCTGGGATGGGCCCGCCAGGCGCTGCCGGGCTGGCCCTGTCCGGGCTCATCTCATCTGATGCAGGTCCGGGATTGCTCTCGACTCCACCAATCATCAGCAGCTTTACTGTAAAAGGAGACGAGACGTTCCAAGTGAGCGCACTGGCGGCAAGACGCTAGCTGGATACATTGGCCAACGAAAGGATCACAATCGGAGAAGGGCAAAGAAGAGTGAATTTGCAGCATGCGACTTGACAGAGCTAGGGATGCGAGAAATGCGCCTCACCTAAGAGGCATCTGGGTTTGGGCGACGTATCCCAGTACGGTTCACTTTGCCAGGGCTCGTGGCATGCTGCAAAAGAGAGGAGCAATCAGACTTGAACACCGTGCAGGCGTGCAACATCGGGAAAGATCTGCAACAGACGAGACATATGGACTGCAATACACGAGACATATGGCCAGCACCCGAGCTAGACACCTGATCCAGAAGAATGAATCAAACGAGACATGGCGAATATGTTCTCAAACGGAGCCCTTTGCAGAAGCACTGATGCAGCGCTACTGTGCAGATTCAGAGTGCTGATGGCTGATGCAGGCAACTGACGGAGTTTATGGAGACTGATGCAAGTGATGCGGTTCAGTGGTGCGACTTACTGATGATGCAGTTGGCGCATCAACTCATGCACTTACGCCAATAACTGATGCAATTCACTGAGACGGTTCACCAGGATGCATACTACTGATGCAAGTCTGCCTCGTCCGCCTGAAAGACCAGTGTGCACTCACCTGACTGGCTGCAGGTATGTTCAGGGGCGGGCGATCCCCCTCCCATTTGCCGTAGCTCTTTTCCGAGCCTGGCTACTTCTGCCCTCAACTTGCGCAGATCAGCCTGGTTCTGCGCCCAAGCTGCAAGGGCAGGGACGCAATCACTTTCAAGGGTCATATGGGGGTTTGTGGACAGTGCGACAAATTTTGCAGCAGACTTCACTGCCTTGCGTCGCAATGAAGAGGATCCAAATGCTTGAGCCGTGCGTGCCAGGTCTTACCTGCACGGTCCCTGTCAACGCGGAAACAGCCGTTGGAACCGCCATGCTCTGCGCAAAAGTACTTGACTTGCCCCCCTTCCTTGCTGCCCCGAAGAGCAAACTCCGCAGTGGCGCCACACTTGTTACATTGAAGAGTATGCAGATCATCTGAAGAACACAAACGGTGGGGTTAGAGGCTAGAGGCAGTCGAGTAACTCACTAAATAGAAGGCCTTGATTGATTCTACAGAACGACACTGGTACCAACAATGGGCTGCACTCCAAATGGGGAATATGCGAACGTACTCAGTTACAAGACAATATGCACTGGCTTGTCTATACTTAGAGTCTCCAAGCCAGGCAAATAAAGTGGTCCACGCCATCAGTTACAAGACAATTTGCACTGGCTTATCTATACTTCAGAGCTTCCAAGCCAGGCAAATAAACTGGTCCACGCCATCAGTTGAAAGCGGGAAGTCCGGAAACACGCGGCATGGTGCAAGACAATATGCCCTGGCCTTCTATACTCTAGAGCTTCTAAGCCAGGCAAATAGACTGGGGCACGCGGGGCTCACAGCGGCACCAGAAAAGCTACGAAGCTCGACACTTTGGAACGTCCAGCGCACCAAGTCAAGCCAAAGCACCTGCCATCAATAACTCTTGCTAGTCCAGACTCTAATTCCAGCAGACGCCAGGACACAAGGACTGATCATGCAAACAGCCGGTTACTGCATTCTAGCATCATCTGCTCTCCAGACCAGACTTCAAGACTTGGTTTGAACGAAGAGAATCAAAAGCTGAACGAAGGACAAGTTCGCAGATCGGCTGCTCTCCTCACCTTGGTCTGCGGGTTTGCCAAGTGAACGTGCAGAGCGCTGAGCCGCTCTCTTTCTAGGATTGCCAGCTGGGGAGCGAGCCATGCCAGCCGTCTTCTCTCTTGCCGCATGCCTAGGCCTGCTGGACGCACTTGCTGGCTGCTCGAGCCCCTCAAGGTGAGCCCTCTTTGTCGCAGCCAGCACCTCCTTGAAACCGTCCAGCAGAACGACTTCCGACGTTTCTGCCAGCCACTCGAGGCCGGTCTTCGCTGCATGCAAGCTGCCCTCCCAAGCGGCTCTCGACCACAGAAGGCCGGCAGGGCCAGCCTCCTCCCGAGCGCGACGGCACACCGTTCCTGCATGCTTCCGAAAGACGCGCTGGCCCCTCTTCGAATCATTCGGCGATCCGGTCAGCGCGGCTCTCACGAGCGCCCGGATTGTAGAGAAGCTAAAGGCATCGTCCTGCGAGTTGTCGAGGGCAGCTTGGGGGGAGTGCGTAGGACTGACGCCCTGAGCAGCACACGCGTCGAGCGATGGGTCCTGCATCGAAGCCTCGCGTTAGAAGAAGGTACCGTGATCATCGACCTCACAAACATGGTTCCGAATCAAGTCTGAAACTGGCGGGCATGTCCGCAGTCAATTTGCACCAACTCTTCTATACTTTTGAAGCTCCCAAACCAAGCAAATAATCTGGCCGCTGCTGTCAGTTACAAGAGCAAGATGCTGCGGGAGAAACATGCCGGTGCGGCTGCCAGTCAATTTGCATTGGCTTTTCTATACTCAATGCTTCCTAAACCAAGCAGATCACCTGCTCGAGGCTCTGGCAGTCACTTACTGCGTATTTGTTTCACAATGCAACTCGGCCTGTTTGGGGGGCTTGACTTAGACCAGACTCAAAGCGACCAGTTGTTGCAGTTGTTGCCTGGCTCTAGCTTTTGTGGCGGCCCGCTCCTTTTCTGGCCCGGTGGCCGCAGCCCAAGGAAGTTTGGAGAAACCGAGCAAAAGCTCGTAACACGGAAGCTGTCAAAGCTCGCTCACCTCGAGGGAGGGCCGCTTGGAAGCTACTTGAGCATGTCCCAGCATGGGCTCGCCCTCAGGACGGAATGGCGAGGATCCACAAGCAGCTTGCACCCCCTCGAACTCCTGGCGCCGCCGGTGGCACAGGGTAGGTTCAGCCTCGCCTCGCGTGTTGACAGCAGCGATGAGAGCCTCCTGCTTCTCGGCGCTGATTGTAATGCAGTCTCTGTCGTCTGCGGGGCACGCATGTCGTGCCGCCTGACGAACCCAGTGATCAGACTTGGTCCTTCCGGGGGGGCGAGTCCTCGCCATGTTCCAAGAGAACCCAACTGCAGCACAAAGAAGTGAAGAAAAAAGTAAACTCAATTTAAGAACTGTGTTCAATCACTGATGCAAAGAATCTGACGCTACTGTCTTTCAACCATTCTCCATGTCTATGTAAGTCCTTCAAGCATTTGACATCATAACCCTTAAATCCAGACAGTCTTTGTGAGGGACACTTCAGGAGATTGCCAACGACCTGAGACCAGAAAACTGAGGTGCCCAAATCTAAATGAGTGCACTGCCTTGAGCAGCAATTAGGCAGCTCAAACCCCCCAATCTTTGACTTGATCTATTGGGTCCCCAACAACTGACTCGCAGCTTATCATCATTGTATATTGCCCAAGTATGTAGAGACAACAGCTTTTCTGACCCCAAGACACACATGATCTAATACGCAGCAACATAGCCTTTTTGATGCTCAACTTTGCGCGTATTGACCTGCGCCCTCATGCAAAACCACGTGCTTGAACGAGCCTTCATGTGGACCAGCTATCCCTAATCTTTTGCTCCCTTCTGACACCCACAGAGTGCACAAAACCCTGAGATCTGCGTCCCCCAAAATGGAGGCAATGATGCTTGAAAGCCTGAACTTTGCTAAGTTTCACGGAAATTACTCTTTTCCCTGCATCGTGCGGCTTTCCAGCCGGCAGCACTATGCTACTCACCAAGTGCTGTTGTTGAACTTCAACCCTCTGCATTGACTGTGACATTTCGTTGAGCACCCGTACCATGAAGATCAAGCGACTCAGGCTAGTCCCCAAACTCAGCCGTTACGGAATTAGACTTACTTGCATTTGAAACAAGGTTGCACACCATAAATCCCTGGCTGATGAGGGCAGCCTCTCTTCCCTTAACAGCGTGAGGACGTATGGAGATACACTGTTTAGCAACTTTGCAGAAATGCTCCAGACTAGCTGAATGAAGCTCCAAGCCAGGTGAGTCAAGCTCCATGCAAGCCAGCTGACTCAAGTCCCTGGCCAATTGAGTCAGCATAGAAGCAGAGAAAGCCAAGTGGATGGCAGCTGCAGGGTGCCATGAATGCACCAAAAGGTGCCATTGCGAGCTGAGTACCATCAGCACGGTGCCGTAAGCGGCACCAAAGCTAGGTGCCGGGGCTGCTGGTGGCCATTTGCGAGCTGGTACTGAAGACTGAATAATGAAAAGTGCCACCGTGCCTCAAGGCCGGAGCAACTAGAGCCTACGGTTTGCACTTATCACACTGGTAACAGTGTACAGTCGAACCGGAACTTAGTCTTTGGTAATGGCTGGACAGCCACAGCCCCAAACTGACCCAAAACCCGCTCGACTACGCGTTTACCGCGCTGCATTTGAGAACATTCGCGATGAAGTACGAGTACGGTCTGTTCTTTTTGGAGAGAACGGATACATACAGCTATAGTTCCGAGCAACCTGCTAGTTTTAGTGAAAAATATAGTGTAACTTAGTCAGTCTGTTTGTGAGTGAAATTAGTCTAGATTAGATGACAGTAAAACTAGCAGGTTGATCGGGAGAAGCTGTACCGATATAACATATGCAGTAAGCAGTTATCCTTGTGGTGATTCCTTGCCTTTCCGGGTACTCACAAAGAATCAAAATAGCGGTTTGTTTCTAGGTTGGTGTTTGATAGGTAAGGCAACCTACATCAATGGATAGGGCTTCTGACTCCAATGCAGTGCCACAAAAAAATGTGTGCCTTACGGTCCTGGAGGCTGATCTGGCGCCCTTCAAGTAGGCTAATACTCTTGCCGGATCGTTCCGGGTTTGTATGTGTCCGGCTTAAACTGGCCATGCATAAAATATGCAGCTTTAAGCCCGCAGCTTCATTTTTGCAACCAAAGCTTGCAACCTTGATAGCTTCGCAACATGAACAAGCATGCATGATCTCTGTATTGCAAAGGCACACAAACAAAGTCCCAATTGGAGGCCGTCGGCTGCTTAAATCCCCAATCGGGCAGCTTCCTACATCCTCTTGCCACGGATGGCTTTTATGCAAAGAAAATGCTGGCAAGTGACCTTGCGGCATATGATCGTTCTTAGTTTCGGAAGTCAATGTAAATCAGCGAAACTTATCTAAGGCCTCTCAACTCAACGATCTTCTGCTTGTCGCTAGCTGTTACAACAGCTTGTGTGAAGTTGTCCGAAAATGAAACGTGCACAAAGCCGTGTGGGATCTCTGGAGGAAAAGCGCCTCTCTTCCAGCAGAAATCCAACACTACCCATTGCTTAACGGCGTTGGCATTGAGGAGTGGAAAGTACTTCCCTCCAGAAGCAAACCTGCGAACCATACAACTCGCTTGAGCTCAAATTACTATCCAGACAAGCAACTTGTAGATTAATCACACACATGGCTCAAACAAAAGGCTAGTGTTGATCAGAACATGTGTCTTCAGAGACGTTCTCAATGAGTAGGACTCTCATGGCAAGAAGTCTTCTCTGGCGAATTGCAGTGATGAAATCTGGACAGCTTCGACAAAGACACCGTCAAACGAAACAAATTATACTTAAAACCAAGTCAAGTGCATCAGACAGCCCATACTGCACGCCACTTACCTTGCCAGGTGCTCCCGCCGCCTATCACCTTCTCGTAGAAGTTCAAATCCCCATGCAAACGGGTGCCCCAGCAAGAAATCAAGGTAGCCTTCGGCTCCATATAGGTACCCGACATCAGGTGAGAGAATCGCATCGTGGGGTAGGTAGCTCATAGCGGCCCTGCAGAAACATGGAGCTCCGTGTCGACAAACACCGCAAGGATGCTTGATGAGACACTCATTGATCCATCAGGGCTAGAGAGAATCTGGATCTGCATGGACTCTCTCAAACTCTCGCACTTGCAGAAAGGTACGTTACCTTCTCTCAAGAAGCACTGAGGCCCTAATGAAAAGCAAGCAAACAAGCAATGGTTTGATTGCTTCTCAGATGCAGCAAAAGGGTCGCCCTTGCAAACGACTTGCGACAATCTCAAAAACATGAAGACCACTAGTGCCAGGAATACTCACTGATAAAAGGAGTTCTGGAACTGTCGCTCATACAGGGCGCTCTCGGCAGAATGACGAGACTCCGACTTCCTCAATTGGACAGGATCAAGCCGCTCCACCACTACCACGACGAACTCAAAAATGCCCGCCTCGAGAATAGCATGTGCGTCCTGGTTACGGCCCAGATATAACTGGCGGGTCATATACCGCATGTGGAGGATGGAGGGCAGATAGAAGAACTCCTGTTCTAGGATCAGCTGCCCTAATCTTGTCAGCGTCAATGCAGCATCATACTCGTCTGCAAACCGAACGAGCTGACTGGAGTGGACCTGCATGGAAGTAGAGGCCAAGTCAACTTACTCTGAGATCGGCATAACGAGGAAGTTGGTAACAAAGCGACCTCATTTGGATATGTGCATCCACTTTCTCACTCGTGCAGAGAGTAGTGCACGAGCATCACGATGATTGATGCTATCTTTGTCGAAACTCTGCGAAATCCTGCGGCTTCAGCGATCTGCAAGCTTGGCCGACCAACACGTAGAATTGTGAAACAGGCGGCAAACTTCACAGGAAGCGCATCCTGGCTGCTGATGCATCAAAGCGCATTCCACACAGTGGAAACTACCTGTCAGTTGCAACACAATCACCTTCAATTCACCCCCGTGCAGCAACTTCCGTACGAGGTCCTTCACAGCAACTGCTGGAACATCGGCAGACCCAGGGACAGCACCGGTGATGCCTTGATCAAAGGCATCCGCTAACCTGCGAGAATACACCGGACGAGTCTCAATGAATGTGAGCCTTCAGCTACTCGATCAAATTGGCGGGTGTCAGATGGTACACAAAATGAATGTAGAAACCGATGTTCCTTAGTGGATGATTGGCAGGTGAACAGCTAAGGAAACTTTGTGATACGCAAGAGGCGCTCGGGGGGATACCCAAGCAGTAGGTGTAGCAAGCCAGGCTCTTGCTTGTTGGACTGCTACTTACATGCTCATACTGCGCAAGTCAGCGACCGCCTTGATGAGGTTCTCGCTCAGCAGCCAAGCCCGCACTTTCTCATGCCACTCGGTTTCAGTGGCTCGTGAGGGTTGGAGGCCCAGGTCCTTGATGCGGTCCAGGAGGAGCGAGAGTGCGCCAGGCTGACGCTGAGTTATGACAAAGAGGTAGTTGCGCTCCGAATCCGCTGCATACCCGCTCCAACCATTGGCAGCTAACCAGCCCGCCCAGTACTCCTGTGCTTCGTCGAACGTGAACTGGAGCGCTATGTCCAGCCCGCTCGACTCCGGCTCTCGCCTGACAGAATCAAAAGACGTCTGTGTTGAGAAAGTCCTTCATCGTCACTTGTGTGGGCTACTAGCAAGTGCTTAGACGTTCCGGCACAGACAATCAAACAGCTCAACACCTTCTCCTGCGAGGCTAAGAGGAAGTAAAACTCATTTGCCACTTCTCCTTGTCCTGCAAGCTCAAATGAGAAACATGATAGGAAAAGAGGAAGCTTAAACATGCTCCAGAGACAAAGAGGCGCCTCACTTCTCGTGTTCTTACAAGTAGCACCATCACAGGTGCGTGAGTTAGCGGCTTACCAAAGTCCTATCGTAGTCTGATTGTCCCAAGAGCCCGGGGTAGAGAACGCGGATCCAGCGGCGGTCGTTGCCTTGATCCTCTTGCTGCCCCAGCACGAGACTAGTAGAATACGCAAACCGCTCTTGGACCTCCCGCTCTGGATGTCCTTTAGCTTCTTGAACAGGGCCAGTCCTAGAGTGGGGAAGGCCTTCTGGGCTTCGTCTACAAGGAGGTACACAGGTTGGGGTGGGGGGGCCGGCTTGTTGTTAGACTCTGGGGAGGTTTGCGGAGTGACAACGATGTTGTTGAAGACGGTGCCAGGATTGTACTCAGCCCACACTCTCTCGAACGAGTCCTGTTCTGCCGGATCGTACTGCCCCAACGAGACGTAGTAGACCTTGCTTTGCATATTAGTCAGCTTGTCCCCAACCAGCTGAAGCAACGAAGTCTTTCCACTCTGAGGCGGAGCTCTGACTAGAATAGCCCCCTGCTCGTCCATTGCATCTATGACCGCATCTACAGTCTTGGTTCTCAAGGAGTAGGCTTCCTTGCTTCTGTTATTGATGCCCTCCGTCCTGCTTCCAATGTACTCCTTCCGGCCTGTAAAAGAGACATTGAGGGGTCAACGAAAGCCAGCTCCCTCTGACCTGTCCCATGAAACCGATTTTCATGAACCGCATGTCTCGCAAATGAGTGTGAAAAGCATCCTGCTGCTCAGCTTCGGTTGACAAGGCCACCATTACAAGCAACTTTCTTCCTCCGAGTCTGCAGAATATGCAGGTGTTGTTGTCCTACTTGACGTCTGCAGTCGTGTTGGCAACAAGCTGAGCAACTCTTGAGGTAAGACGCAATCTACGACAGCAAAGATAGGTAACAGCACTTTATCGCCAAACAGGCTTTGGGTTGGACGTGCAACCAGGTGAGCACGCTGACATGACAAAGATCATGCAGGCCACACAAAGAACGAAACCCTCGGACCACAATTTTCATTGGAACAAATCCCCTCCAACTGGGGCCTGCATGTGGCCCACCTCCACAGCCATGGAATATTAGTCCAATGGCTCACCACAGCTTGCCCATAGGGAGCGCCCACTTGCATTCCACGTTTGCACAATCACTGGTTGGTGGCAAGAAAGGCACTTTGGGAGGAGGTGCACTCACCCACCTGCTCCCCCCGCACCTGCACCCCACTGCTGGATTCGCCAACTGCTGATGGACCAGCCCCTGCAACAACAAAGAGCTTCATGAGCAGGGTGACGCAGCATATATGCTTGAGGCAGCAAATGAGGTTGGATCGTTGAGAACCCCAGCAAGTGAAAAGTGCATAAGAGTGACGGCTGACAAGCACCTAAATGCTCGTGAGTTGCACCTGGTCTGCCAACAATTGCACAGCAGACCGCTTTCTGCTCCAGAGCAACTCCGCTTCTGCTAGAAACACCCCATGCCTAGCATGCACCAGTGTCCTCGGCAAGATCGACAAAGAAGCAACTATACTACCCGGCAATCAGCCATGTCCCTTCCCATGCCATCTTCTCCCAGCTTTCCTGCCGCTACATGCTGAACAACAACACCACGACTTGAATCCTTTATTTTTATATATGCGTACCTGAGACAACTTTGATCTGGGGGCGCTGGGTCAGCCGCTCCATCAGTGGCGGGGCTTTCAAAGCCTTTGCCCGCTCGACTTCCCGGAAGACAGGCTCACCCCCAGGGCGCAGGGGCCTACCCCACACAAAGACTCTCTCCTTTTCCCCAAACTGGTTCAGCAAGTGCAGGCGCTGGTCTTCTTCAGCAGCAGTGTCTGGCAGCAGTTTGATGTCTGTAGGGATCCCCTCTGTCTCCCCCTTTGGTATCGCATTGAAGTCTGGCGTCCTCCAGATGCACACTTCCATCTCTATCTCCTGCACGAGTGGACACCAGGAATCGTGTTTGGTTCCAATTATTTGGCGCCCTCCACAGGTCATCTTCCTGAACAAACTCGCTTACCAAGGTGAAGGCTTACACAGCGGAGGCCCGACTGGGTGCTCGAGTACAACCAGTGCTGGTCCCGCCTGAACTGCTTCTCACTGTCCAGGCTCACCTTGTCTGCAGTAGGGCCGGGGTTGATCTCTATCCCACCCATCATGAGAAGAGCAGCTGCACGTGAGGAACAACATATTGGAACGCTAGATGCTGAAAGCTGGACTGATCACGGCACGAGCGAAAAGCACCAAGTCTGTCTAAAAAACCGTCAAAGTAGGATTAGCTTAACTGCTACAAGCGCTTGCAATACAGAGCGAGCCCAACAGCCGTACAAGTGAACTGCAGTTGCAGAACTGCAACCGAAGCGCCTTACCTATGAGCGACCGGCTCATGGGCATTGAAGCCTGAGGCCCCACACTTTGGGACTTTTCCGAAGCTGCAGAAGTAAACAGTGAAGCGTTAAGTTGCCATCACCATTGATTGCCATCACCATTGAATAACGGGTCAAGGCACAGCAGAAGATGCAAAATGCACCAGAGGTATGACAGTGAGCTCACTGCCCACCGGCTTTGTATAAGAGCACAAATGATTGGGTGATATTGCGCCGCATGCTTACCATATGGCGGTTTTGCAGTGAAGGAGGGCCCTCCCAGGTTCCGCAGCTCTTCTTCCAACCTCCTCTCCTGTGCTCTCAGGCGGCGCATCTCTCGGTCCTCTGCCCATGCTGCAGGAGCATACAGAGCATGTAAAGCTCTCGACAGTCTTTTCTAAAGGCTCACTGCTCACCAATGGGAGAGCAGTTATGAACGTTGTATGAAAGTTAAACCATGTCAACAGCAGGCTCCCCGAATGCTCTCACCTGCGCGGTCTCGGTCGACTCGAAAGCAACCACTCGACGTGGTGTGCGCTCTGCACGAGTACTTGACGCTTCCCCCCTCCTTGCTTCCTCGCAGCCCGAACTCTGCGGGAGCGCCGCACGCGTTGCAGTACAGGCTATGCAAGTCTGCAATGAAGAATCGCAGAGGTTGGGTGTTGAACCTGGAGTCTAAACTTGGAGATGAATGCAGAACTTGGTGGGTGCCCCTGCCTTTTGCAGTCATGCCTCTTTCTTCTGGCAGTGGGGCTGGAGGTTTGTAATTGCCAGCATGTACCAAGAATCAGCCTCTTATACTCAAAAGAGAAAGAGGCAAAGTCTGGTACATCCCAGGGACGGCCATTCCCGCTAAGATTGCTTAGAACTTTGTGATGACAGTATGTACCAAGAATTAGCTTCTTATTCCTAAAGAGAAAGAGGCAAAGTCTGGTACGTCCCAGGGACAAACATGCCCGCTAAGACTCCTCAGAATCTTATGAGTAACTGCAGAGCCAGCCACCCTTAAACCATTCTGACCGCGCTACCGAAAGTAGTGTGTACCAACTTCGTTCCTTTCCATTACCAAGAACAGACATGCTCTTCTTGGTACACATTGCAAGGCCACCCACCCCTCACCTTTCTATCTTACACACCAATACGTCCCAGCTTCTGCTTTGCGTCCGCCTCATAACTCCAAGCATTCAACCCAGAAGCCATGCACCAGAAACTCACCGCTTTGTGCAGCTTTGCCATGCGCATGTTCCAATCGCTTGTTTACTTTCTTTTTCCCACTGCCAGTTGCCTTGGAAGAATGGCCCTGTGCTGACACCCGAGCAGCTGATGCCTTGGTCTGTAGATCCTTAGACTTCTGGCCCCGCTGCCTACGAGGGGCATCTTCCACGTTGCACTCTACGTTAACCGCCGCAATCCGCGCCTCCTGCAG